TTTCCTTTACTCTTGAGCTATGGATTGTTAATTAGCTATTGAATAATTTTACATACATAACCAATACAGTATAAAATGTTAATCTGTACACATTATAAAAATTTAGAATGAAACATTATCTATTTCGCTTTACAGTTATTAAAGTCAAATTGCGCCCGGTACTGTAACTATTGTAGGACTGATTGACGTATGCGTATTTATAATAACGGTATAATGAAATACTATGGGCAATTTAAATAATATTGTAATGTTACAAAGACAATTTCTATTACAATTCTACATTGCGTCGCGGACCCTTGAGGAACATTCCAGAACGCTTGACGTTATCGGACCACACGAGTGTGACTTCCGTTTATATTCGGCGGTTCGGTGAAGTAGAATGATCTAAGATTTTGGCCGTGAGACCACGTTGATTTCAAGGAAGGAATGTGTTATATTAACAATCATAGTTTAGTCGCCAAAAGATAGTCTATCTAATAAACATTGAAAGACCGTTACTGCGTTCGATCAGGGTGTTCCCAGAATGCAACACGTATTATCGATACACATCCGGTCGGTGAGAACTACAAAGGAAATTTTGAAAAATATTCCTGTTCGGAACGTAACAAAGTGATTAAGATTTTGCAATATCGAAAATAACGAAATAATTAAATAGCTAATGTATGAATAATGAAATAATTAGGCAGACAATTGCGCGAAAAAATTAAAGTTTAACACCTATACCAAAGCATCTTCAATGTTTAACCTTGAAGAATTACTATTTTCACAAACTTTTTTAAACGTATTAATTTATATTAGACTTTTTATTTAGTAAACTTACATCGGTGACAATGGTACATTTCAAATGAAAAATATTTACTTTCCGAGGAAAGAATTTGAAACATCTACTAGTGATTCACAGTTCCTTGAACAACAAGTTGCTGATCGCCACTTTGCGTGAGGTAGTGCAATATATTCATCGTATTTATGAAAAGTCTTCAGAGATGGATGACGAATCAGATTGGAAGAAGGTGAATTACAATGGTTCGTCCATGTTAAATTGAAGGGCTAAGTTTCGTTTTCTCTCGAGGTTCATTTGATCGGAGATTTGGAGCAAGTTAGCTTGTTCCTGCCGAAGAGCTCGTTTTAGCTCTTGTAGTTTCCAACCTGCCTCTATTTGCTTATCTGCGATCTGCTTCTGTAAAGCAGCTATTCGCTGGTTCAGAGTGTTGTAATTTGCTGTTAGTGGATTTGCCGCATCACCAGGAGCAGCTCGATCGCATATAACCGCTCCGTAATCCTGCTGCACCATATCCGACGTCAACAGGCAAATCTTGTCATGAAGATCTGCTAACTGCGTCAATGTTAACGACTAAGGAAGAAGAAATATATAGATTAATGGTTAATAAAATTAATAGACTAATAAGTATGAATTGGGATAAGAATTATAAGGAGTATGTAATAGAAAGGAAATCATTGTAATAAGTAATCTTTAAAGGTTTTTATCAAAGAAAATTATGTTAATGTCAAACTTGTTATTATACCTTAGCAAATTTTTATTTTAATTTAAAAAGTAATGACGATAAATGCCTATTAATATTGTATAGTTATTAATATTGTAATGAAAAGTATAAAAATAATTGTACATGGTGATTGCTAATAGATTGTATAGGGTGAAATTTCAAACAAAATAGCTATTTAGGGTTAGCATGTTAAAATATTGAGAAGACACTCAACAACTACATCACATAATTTGCTAGTAACAAATACAAATGTTAGGGATTCTTCTATGTGTCACAATCATTTCAATAAGTGATAAGAGGTCTTCGATCAAAAATTGTACTGAAATTTGGAAATTCTCAAAATTGGGAATTCGAGTAATTAAATATGTAGTTGAGGATTTGTAAATTAGGGAACACCTGAGTATTAGGAAATCTACGCATCTGGAAATCCGGAGATTTAGGTATTTAAAAATTTGGAATTTTGAATTTCGGAAACTCGGAACTCGGAAATTTTTGAGTTTTAAGAATTTTACTATTTGGAAAGTTGGGAAATCATAGAATTTGGAAATGCAGAAATTGAGACTTTTGGGAATTTTTGAAATATTACGAATATGTAGATTTGAGACTTTTCGGATTTTTAAATTCAAATATTTGGATAACTAGAGAATTGGGAATTTAAAAATATTGAATTTTATTAATTTAGAAATATAGGAATTTGAGAAATTTGAAAATTTAGGAATTAAAGAATTTATAGATTTATGATATTTGAGAATTTTGAGAATATGAGGTTTTAAACCTGTTAAAAGTCTGAGAATTGAAGAATTAAATATTTGGATTTTTGGAATTTGTGAATTTGCAAATTGTAGAATTGGGGAGGTTGGAAATTTGGAATATTATTCAAATATTTACGATTCAGAGAAATCTGAAAATTGGTAAATATAGGAATATTAATGTAATGGATTATTGGGATTTTTTAGAACATGAGGGTTTAAAATTTTGAGGAATTTTCAAAATATGATTTGGTACTCTTGGGAATTTTTAGAAATTTTAAGGGAAACTTAGGAATTTAGTGATTTGGAAATTTAAGAATTTAAATATTTGCATATTCGAAAATCAGTGCCTCGCTCGCTTTAACTCGGTCGCGTCGGGCAAGCGTTCGGCTAGAACGTTAGGAAACGTTGCTTCGGTGTTGGGAAGGAATTTTATTAGGAGGACGGAGAGCCTGGTCCGCAAAGGTCCGGCTGCTCCAGAGAGTGGTTTGTATGGTCTTTAGTTTTCAAGAACCTGGTCCGCTAAGGTCCGGCAGCTCCGAGGGTGTGGTTTTGTTCTCCAGGATACGACTAACGTAGCTATGACTTTTTCCAGGTATTTATACGTTTTTGCTATGTCTATGTCCGTCCAATCACGGGCGCGCGTTGTCATGTACAAGGGTCTTTTATGGCATTGCCTGCTCGAGGTACGCTGATTACGCCGCGTACGGGAAATATGTTTCGCTTATAGCTAACCTATGTACAATATTTACAATATTTTTGCGCTGCAAAAGGAATTTAGGCCCCTATTTTTGTTAAAGATGAAGATAATGGTGATAATAGATAAAACTTAATATATTTTTATTTGTAAGTGATCTATATTCAAAATAGTATTAATTCTTTAATATTTAGTTGATAGAAGTTTGGCCGATCAACGGCCCTGGAAAGGCGTTCATTTCGAGAGTGGTACAAATCCACCTTAGGTTGAAATTATTTTTAGCTGAATATATTACGGCACAATTCAACTTCAGTAAACTGTAATAATGTTGTTAAGACTGTGAAAAACTACAAAATGTTCACGTATAATTATTGATTTTTATTATAAACTCCCAAGTAAATTCGAGTTCAGTTATAAATAAGAGTTCAACAATAAATATTCAACAAAGTCGACACGGTTCTTATTTCAGTATCGGTGCACAAATCCTCTTAACAATGTTGCTGTTATTTGAAAATTAATTACAAATTGTAGTTTCCTTCAGTTAAGAAAATATAGCTCAGAATAATTTCAACGAAAATCATAACTGCATAATGCATTTGAAATTGAAACTGTTGGGTAATAATAACAGACTAAAGTACTTTTCTGGGTAATAATATCACTTCAATAAAATCTGCCTTTGAATTGATTAGTTGGATCAGATTTACAAGGAATGCAGCATATAAAATATAATACAAAACTTCGATGGTTCGACATAATGAATTATAAAATTCGACATACTAAAATTCTTGATATATTACTACAACAAAAATGAATCTTTGTCTACTTTCATAATTTTTAAAAACCTTATTAAAAGTTCCAATATTTATTGCAGTACAGTACGTTCCTAACATAAAATGTAAAATATTTTGTAAAGTATTCACGTTTTGACAATCTTGGATTAGGATTTGTTTGCATAGGTTAATAAAGAGGATCCGTTGATTTAACAAAAAAAAAGATATGAATTGTATTAAGGAGCAAAATGCTATTGAACTTGGCAGATGCATCGATGAATCCATAAAAAATTAAGTTGTATAAAGTTGGTTAAGGTTATTTTTGGGATCTTTAGTTAAAGTAGAGCAGTAATCTCTTAAAATCCTCAAAATTAGTTTGTATACTGTTCCCCAAGAGCGTATATATTATATCTATAAGAAGATATAGGATAATTAAAAAGAATCGCGTTAAAGTACAACTACATTTTTCCATTAGCTAGGACGTAAATCGTTCAACGTCCATAGTTAAGTATAATTTAACAACGTCGGTGCATACTTTTAACAAGTTTTGGGTATAAACGATAGGAAGCAACTTTCATATTCTCTGGAGTTGGCAGGATAGTTGTTTTAGTTCGATATATGTTTTGTCTAGAGCTTAGTGGTAATACCTACGATCTCATTTCAGTATCATTTGGAAACTCCTTTTCAATACTCAGTACACAGATATTGTAAAAATAAATGTCATAAACAATAATAATGCAAAGTAGCAAACGACTGTTTTTTCAAAAACTCAATGATAAAAATTTTTTATAACAGGATGGTGTGCTATGACATATACGCTCTTGTGAAACAGATAATACACAATATATTTCGTGACTAAATTACAAAACATGTAAGGGTACGATAGAAAAGTGTATTCTACTAACCATTCTCTTATTTCTTGATTTCTGATGTTAGCATTTACATTCAATGGTAGTACTATGTATAGTTCTAGGTAATATTTGAGGCTTTAGTTCGAAGAATTTTAGTAAGAAATGGAAAGTAGCTCTCGTAAGTGCGATAAAAGTATCAGATATTTATTAAAAACTGTTAATAATAATTGTACTATAGTAATTACTTGCTCTACATACAAGGTGTATTCAAAAACTTCGGAGACCTCCGTTATTGTATGTACATATATCTTTTACTCGAAGGTTTAATCTGTTTGCATGTATGTATTTACAAAATCTTTTTTTCAAGTAGCAAATGCTTTCTGGTCAATAGATTTCGAAATCTCATCCTGCGATTTTGTAATTGTGTCTTCTCGAATATAAAAAACGTCGTCCTTTCAGTACTCATTTAAACTGAAGAAAGAGTAAAAAGTCTGCTGATAATTGTAAGTATCTTCACTGTTTCAAATGCTATTTTACTAAGATTAAAAGAAAACTTTATGCATCATTTCTCTGCTCTATGAAATCACTTATCTGAGAATCGCTGAAGTCATAGCTCACGGTAAACTACAACGGACAGTAACTGGACAACTATTAGGTTGTTCGGAAAGTAATTTCGTTTTTTCTCAACAGAGGATTTAATTGTATTTTTTTACAGCTACCTTCACATTTAAACCGCAAATCATTATACATTTTACCAACTGATATAGCAAGGCTTTTTTGTGAAAAATTTCAATTGATTCCACGCAGTAGTTTTTGGTTGATGCCCCATCAAATATGGAAACAAAAAAGTATCATTTTCGGCACATTTTACTTTTTTACTATTATAAAGGTAAAAATACTGGTCAAGCAAGAAAAAAATTGTCAGAAGTGTGTAGAGAAGACCTATTAACAAAACGACAGTGCCAATCTGGTTATTATTATTTATTCCGATCATTAAAGAATTTTTTGAACGGTAAAACCTTCACTTCAAACGAGGAGGTGAAAATTCACTTGCATCAATTTTTGCCAGCAAGGAACAAAAATTATATGAACGTGGAATTATGTTACTGTCAGAAAGATGGCAAAGTGTATTGGACCAGAATGGACAATATGTAATAGAATAACATTTTTTTTTTCTTTTTTTTTTAATCCAGGTTTAACGTCGCATCTACACCCTTGGACAAAAAGATAGCACAAATGGGTGGGGGTGGTGTAATGATTTGGGCTGGAATTTAAACGGAATGGATACAATGGCAAAACAAATGTACAGTTTCTTCAATGAAAAATGAATTTTCAAAAATATATAAATTTACTCTCAAAACAAAGTATTGAACACGCACTACGAATTACCACTGAGAAATTTATTTTTTAACGTGGCAATGCTGTAATTCTCCGAATTAAAGTCGAAGAACAATTTTTTCAAAAAGAAAACGTATCAGTTTTTCCGTTGCTCGCACGCTCCCTGGACCTGAATATTATTGAAAATTATTGGGGAGAACTAGCACGTGCTGTATATAAGAATGGAAAACAGTATGATATTATTAAACAATTAAAAGAAGCTATTAAGATGCATTGGGATAATTTGCCATAAAATACAATTAAAATGTTATACAAATCCTTACCAAAGCGGTTTTACAAATCCTTACCAAAGCGGGTACACGAAGTAATAAAAAATAAAGACGGATATACTCATTATTAACTTTGTATTAATTGCAATGTAACTTTCTTTTTTTATGAAAATAT